TTCAGCAGCAGCAACCAAGAGAAAAAAGTAAGTACTTCATCCTTCACTGCACCATGCCCCAATGTCTACCATACAACTAACATGCTCACTGATGCTGTAGGTTTCTGCTACAAGTGCTCAGTAGGAAATACTTACCAAATGTGTAAAATGTCACCAGATTAAACAAGCCACTAAGTTTGAGTGAAAAGTTTTCCATGCCTTGGGCTTACTGTTTTAAGTTATCTATGCAATCAAGGAGATAGTGTGCTGACTGATATTCTTTGAGTTTGTTAAAATGTGATACTGGCCATGTGTATCCTGTCTATATTTTACTATTCAGTATTGTGTCACTTGATTGAGGTTCACAGCTATGTTTAAAGGGTGGCATTCTATATTGTACACAAACCCTAGAGATTTAGTTTTAAAAAGTCTTCAAATCAGATTTTTTGTGATCTTATGGTCTCTTGGGCAACGTTAAAAAAGAGGCTGAAATTTGAGAGCAGATGTCTAGAGAATTCACTTGATGAAAGGGAGTTGTCCTCTCCCTTTATCTGCCTGCAGGCTGGAGATGTTAGAGCATCTACTATAGCCATTTCCCACCAACATAAGATCCACCTATCCCAAGCAAGGCTGTGACACAGAAAAGACTCTCCCCTTCCCCCACAAAGTTCTACAATTAAGTAGCTAATTCAAGGATGACAATTACGTAAATAATTACACATCTATATGGCAACGATTGGCCAATGATCCCACAACTAAAAAGATTAGTCAGTTTTATCTTTCTTCCTCTCTGTTTTATAACACCAGTCTGACCAGCGAGATACTGCCAAGAACCAGTCCAATGGCTATGTCAAAGCTACAAGTAAAGTGCAGCAGGCATTCACAACCAATGACTGCTAAATAAAGCCAGAAAAGTCTCCTCCATTCAGTTCCACAAGACATCACTAGAAGGTCCAGCTGAAGACTCTACAGAGGCTCCCGATGCAGAATACAGAACATCTTAGTGAATTAAGCCCTAGAGAGGATACAGAAGCCATACAGATAACTCCTATCATTAATACCACCAGCTCAGCTCTCCTTCCTGGTCAGGTAGAAACTTTAAGGAAATTTGTTATTTTAGTAAAGTAGTATGAGAGTTAAAGTGTCTGAAGGCAAAGTTAGGTATGAGTAGGTGCTTAAGCTACTGACAGTAGCCAGCACTCCATCTCCACTACAGCTTCTAACTTTGATTACACTAGGGGAGCTGAACTGGTGTCAGTGATAACACGTCTTTGCACAGTTTTGCTATTATTGACAAGGCTTCACAATAGTTCCTGCGCTACTGCTGTGCTATACAGTATTTCATCTTAACTAGGGCTTCATCCAGAAGCAGTGTAGAAGAATTACAAGTTTCTTTCAATGCCAGGGCCACATTTTTGTCTTGTGCATTGTGTTATTTAATAAGACCTATTCCTCTTGGCTTTCTTACCAACTCATGCATACGTTTTCCTGTCCAACCCTACTGTTCCAAATGTGATACTGCAATGATATCACTTTTCACAGAAGCTAGCGATATTTTATGAAGAGGCTTTGTTAAGAAGCACAGGTCTTGAAATATTTACAAGACATCAAAAGATTAAAACTGACTTGCTATGGGCTCATGTAAGCCCTAAAAGCAAAACATGAAAACAACTGCCTGGAGCTAAGGCAAGTAACCTACTCCCTTCCGCATACTGCCAAGTCTCAGAACAATTATTATGGTGGCATCCCTGGACCCTAACCAGAAATTCAGGTTTTAATTAGTAACCTCTGTCACTGGGGTCTCGAAGAGGAAGCCCTTATTGACCCCATCTAGCTGCTTGGAAGGCAACAGGAACTATTCCTACTATAAGCCCAGACACCTTAGTGGAAGAAGGGAACTGTTGTGTTTTTTTTCCTCTTCTCCCATCCTTCATTGCTGGTTTCTCTCCTTACACGCTTCAGTCATGTTCAAACATAAGAATATATAGGAACTGCCATTTACTGGTCAGACTGTAGGTCCATCTTGCCTGGTTTCCTGTGTCACATGGTGGCAGAGAGCAGATGCTGAAAGGGAGAGTGAATAGGGGATGACCAGGTTTTTCCCTGCTACCATTCCTCTCACTTGCAGGCTCCAGCATTTAGTCTAGGAAGTGCCGACTCAGAAGCTGTGCCCCTAATTCTCACTAGCTCAATAGCTAGTGATGCACCTTTCCTTCAAGAATTTGTCTAATCCCTCTTTTGAATCTGGCTAAACAATCAGCTCCCATAAAATCTTGTGGCAATGACCTCCACACTTTTAATTACATGTTGTGTGAAAAAAATCCTTTCATTAATGTTAAAATTACTGCCTACTAGGCACCATGGGACTCCAGAAAGATAAAGTGAAAACAAGAACTGTAACTTTGCTAGTGCTGAGGAAGCCACCTACACACTCCCGATGACACCACCACAATCGGATCATACTGGTAGGTCTTCTGCAACCATAACAGCTTGCAGGCTTTAAAACTGAAAGATGCCTAAAGAAGCTGATACAAGCCCTATACACCTCCCATGAAGCAGATCTTAACAGACACTGAGCTCACCCAGGCACACCTCAAACACTTAGCAGCCACATCTCCAGGATAGCTTGCCACCAGGCTGGCACAGTTCAAGCCAGGTGTGTGCTGTACCAGCACCTGCACAGAAGCCCCAGCTTGGAGAGCTACAGCAGCATTTTCAATCTTTTTAGATTCAAGGCCCCCCCTCATAAAATATCAACTCTTCACTTTCACTCTACTTTTGACTACAGAAAACCAACACAACAATTCTTGTGGCAAAAAACTCGGAAAGACCACAGCCAGTCAGAACAGCTCAGGCACTGGTGGATTCCTAGTTGAAATCTCAGGGTGGGATTTGGTGAACTGTGGCTGCTCATTGCTACTGTGCAGTAGCATGGGGAGGCACTAACTGTGATGCAATCACTACTGCACAGTAGTGTCAGAAAAAAAGAAACGTGGGCATGCGACTGCGTAGTAATGCCGGTTACTGCGCAGTCATTTAGTACTTGATTCTGCGAGTACTAAATGCAGTGACAACTGCACAGTCCACCACTCGTGTAGATGTGGCCTGTGTGTAGGGTGCACCTCAAACAAGGTCTGTTTTTAGCCTTAACCTGGAAACTGATTTTCCTGGGTTTTGATTCATAGTTGGTAGGGTCGGAAGGGACCTGAGCAGATCATCAAGTCCGACCCCCTGCCATGGGCAGGAAAGAATGCTGGGGTCAAATGACCCCAGCTAGGTGATTATCTAGCCTCCAAACAGACCAGGGAACAGTAATTTAGGCTAAAAACAGACAAGGAAAAATGTTAACTTGAATAAGTCACAAGTACATAGTGCGAGTCCAGTTGAACCATTCACAAATACTTAGAGCATGGAGCTGGGCTGTCTGCAGGGTTTGGATTTGATGCAGCACAAAACCCTCAGATGAGAATCAAACCCAGCAGTCTGTTAGCAGGGGTATTCAGAGGTGTACTTGTACTCCCCTCTGATTTCAGCTCCATCCCAAGTTTAAAACCAACTGCCCCGCAGCAACATTTCTAGTCAGGCAGCGCTGAGGAAACCACTTGACTTCATGGCTCATTAACAGGGATCCTGGTTTTCTCCGATTAAAAAAAAAAATCCCCAATCTTCAGATTAAAAAAAAGTAACCCCAAATCCACATTTCTCCAAGATTAAAATGAAACAAGACTAATCTATAGATATCTATAAATAGATAAAGATAATGCCATTTCATTTTAATCACAGAAAAATGTGGATTTGGGGTTACTTTTTTTTTTTTTACCTGAAAATTGGGGATTTTTTTTTTCTTTTAAATCAGAGAAAACCAGGATCCCTGCTCATTAATAATCTACCTGCTTCCTTTTAAGCTCTTCAGTCCATGGGTGTGAAGGCCTCTTTCTCCTTTTTAACAGTCTTCACGTTTCACCCCTCCAGCCCAGGCCTGAAACGCGGTAGCCCGGCGAGCTGGATGGAACAGCTCTGAGCCCGTATGCTGGAAACCCCTGATTTTTGAGAAGCGAGGTAGGTCTGCGACAGTCTGGGCAATTACACCATCTCAGTCACTCTGCCATTGGCTACGAGGGAATTTAGCTGTGGGTGCCCGGTGCATTTTCAGACAGCAGAATTTGAGCAGAGCAGAGGCACTGCCCTGTCTTAGCCCCTAGGTGCCCTCCCTCATGGATGCTGATCCCGGCCCAGCCTTTCATTTACCATCTGGCCATGCCCTGCTCCTGGGAACAGCAGCTCCCCCCTCCCTGCCTCACAGGCAGCTTTTACCTCCTTCCAAGCAAGCGACACTCCTAGTTTTTGGCTTAGCTCCTAAATGAGTGAGTGAGCAAAGCTGCTTATTTCTCCCCCACAGGAGAAAATTGCACTGTGGCAGCGTTTCTCAAGCCACGGGTCATGACTCACAAGTGGGTTGCAAATATATATATACGGAAGGGTGGGGAACAAGCTTTAAGGCCAGATTCCCCTTTAAAGGAGGGAAGAAACTGTGGGTTTTCCCTTGTCAGCTGGCAGAGCTCCAGCCTGCGAGGCACTGCTTTGGGGACTGTTGCCTGGGGGTCGGGGGGTGAGGGGCACTGGGTCGGGACTGGCCATGGATGTTTACAAGTGGGTCCTGGTACATAAAAGGCTGAGAGCTGCTGCTCTGTGGGACGAGGTCTCCCCTTCAGCACGCCCCGCTTCGCAGCCCCAGATCCGGCCCAGCGGGGCACGGGCTAATAAAATCGACCCTTCGTGGGGGGCGGCTGGAACGCGGGGCGCGCGGGGGGAGCCGCCCCCAGCCCAACGGCCCCTCCCCCCACGCCCCCATTGGCTCCCGGGCGCAGGCATGGAACCCCTAGCAAAGCCCCCCCGGCCGGGAGGGGGGAGAACCCGCCTCTTACCGAGCAGCGCGGCAGCAGCGGCCAGGAGCACGGGAACGCGGGGCCGGGCCATGGCGCAGGGAACGGAGCGCAGGGAGCAGCCGAGCCGAACAGAAAGCCCACCCACCCCCCGCCTCTGGAAGCCGGGCCGGTCATATGATCGCTGACGTCACCGCTCCGCGCCATCGTCACGTGACCCGCCCCTTCTTACCGGAAGGGGGACCGGTAAGAAGGGAGAGGGGGAACCATTAAGGAGGCAATCGGGCGAGAGTGGCGCTGTTTCTCACAGTAGCCCCGCACTAGGGATTAACGCAAACCTTGGGAAGAGGGGTTGGACCTCCCCGAGCGAGGTACCCCAAAGCCGGTAGCACCAGCGCTCCCATCGCTCCTGAGCGTGCGCACATGCCGCCTCTGATTGGCCGCCGCAGGGTTCGAGCGACCAATCAGAGCTGCCCTTGGGAGCCTTTAACCCCGCCTCCCCCTCCCTCCTCCTCAGGTGGGACAGAAGGGGAGGACTGAGCCTGCGGTTCGGGGTGGCCCCGCCCCCTGTGCGTCACGGCCGGCGGGGGGGGAGCGCGCGGCCTTCGACATCGGGAAACATGGCAACGCGCTCGGCAACGCTGTGGCGTCACAGAGCAGGGAAGGAAGTCATGGTACCTTGTTAGCGCAATGAGCCGGGATCCTCGTTTTCTCTGATTAAAAAAAAAATTCCCATTTTTCGGATATAAAAAAGTAACCCAACATGCACATTTTTCCATGATTAAAATGAAATGCCACTGGAATATGTATGTATATACTTATTTATTAGTGGCGTTTAATTTCAATTATGGAAAAATGTGGATGTTGAGTTATTTTTTAGATATAAAAAATGGTAATTTTTATCAGAGAAATCTAGGATCCCTGATGATGTTTGCAAGGCAGTGGCTGGGAGAGCCACTGCCTGGGTCTGCAGCCTGCCATGACCTGTGTTCAGTGTGATGCTCTCCGCGGTGCCTGCCCAGGTGACTAGATCAAGTCCCTATGGAGAATTTTGGACTTTACTTGTAGGGCTCTTTTGGGCCATGTCACCACTTGTTGCTGGTTACCTGACGCTAAGGGCATAGTGCAGTGATCGACCGGGGTGCCGCAGCACCCCAGGGTGCTGAGATCCATTCAAAGGTGCTGCGGAGCGGCCCTTCTCCCCCATCCTAGCACTGCTACATGTGCAAACCCGAGCCACAGGATGAACCCACAGGTTTCACAAAGGAACCCATTGCATTAAGAAGGTTCTGTCCTGCTGGGATCTTTGAGTTGTCTGCAGCAGACAAATTCTTATTTTTCCATAGTAAAAAACCCCATACAAAATCAAACGAACAAGGGAAAACTAGGAGCTGGGTTTCTCTGAGCTAGGCCTTGAGTTTAAAAAGGCCGAGAACCACTGGGTTTAGCATCTGTCCAAAGCCAGTGGCTGGGAGTAGGGAATAAGTGAGCAAAGGAGCAGAATGTGTGGATCAACTCATGAACATTATGGAAAAGGTCTACCTGGTCAACATAAGGGAAATACTCATAAGACCATAAACTGGCTATACATTTCTGCAGGGAGCTGAATTTTGGACACTTAATAGAGACTGGCTTTTGCACAGCAGGGGTTAAGGACAGGCATGAGGAGGCAGCAGCATTCAGCTACAAGACTGGCCAAGGTCAAAGACAAGGCACAAGCTAGCTGCCTGCCTACAGTCAGACCCTGAAGAAGGGGCTGAGCTAGATTGCAGGGTATTGCATTCAGCAATTTTGTGTTTCACTTGCATTTTCTCATGCTTGGTCTTTCATATAAAAAACAATGGCATGCTCAGAAACTCCGTGTAAAGCCTATCTGCCATGCCTGCTCTGGAAACAGATTGCAAACTAGAAAGCTCATAACCTTTGCTGTGGTTCTCAGAAAGGGAATGCTTCAGCCCTAGCGAGTCCGTTCACTGCATCTGATGAAGCTTGCAAGCCCTCTGCTTACCAAAGCTTATACTAAGAGTCTATAAAGGTGCAAATCTACCCTGCCTTTTGCCTGAGCTCTAGCAACTGAAGTCAGTACTAGAACTAAGTATAGGTAGGCTTCAGCTCTCAGGTGTTGGCAATGCTAGGGCATGGATCAGCATGTATGATGGCAGCTACAGGCTCTTAAGATGGGACAATGCCTTGGCTCCACTCAGATTCTTAAGTCTTAAGACACTCAGAACATCCATTAACTAAATTCCCCGGTTCCAAATTGCAAAGTGATTGAGATGATGTAATTGTCCCAACTGTTACAAATGTAACTCATTTTACATAGACCAGGGTTTTTAAACACAAGTGGGTTGCAAATATATATATGCAACATATATATATGTTCCATCCAGCTCACTGGGCTACTAGCATTTGGGGGGCAGGGGTAGAGGTTGTGGCCTCCACAGAATTTGGGGTCACTAGGCATCAGTGGCACGGGGGGTAGAACAAGGGCTGTGTAGATACAGCTCTTGCTCACCCCGCTGCTTGGCCCTGCTACTACCACCTGGACCTCTGCCACCACTGTCCATAGAACTACGCCACTGCTCTCAGACATGCCACAACTACTGCTGGTCCCTTGGATCTAGCTCAGGAGGAGCCCGGAGGTTCAGATCCAGAATTTGATACTCCTATCATAGATGAAATGACAATGGTTTTGGTCACCAATGACATGGTTGAAAGTGTAGCTGAAAAATTGCTTACTCATTTGTTCAGCATGCAAACAGTCTAGCAAAAAGTAGAATTCATAAATCTTAATTTTTTTATTACTGTACCAGTGAGAGTAACTTGACTAACAAATTCCAGTCCACTGGTATGTTTTTCTAATTACACAGATGAGAATTACCTGTTGATTACATCGCTTCCTCGGGCAGACATAATTCACTAGCTGATGAAAATGTCTCTAGAGAATACTATCAGTTTTTGTAAACTACTGTTTTTGTTCATCAAAACACTAGTTAAGAGTTTCGTTTGTTGGAGTGAATGAGTGAGGGGAAGGAGAAGTAGTAGTGATATGCACCATTGTTTAACAGGTATCACTGGACTTCTGTTTGTTACTGCCAACTCCTTAGTCTAATGATTCTCAGCTGTGGTGTTGCAAGATCCTTTGAACATTGACAAACAGTATTATCTCTGTTAGGTGTGCAAACATCTATGCAGGATTCCCAAGACAAACCCAGAGATTTCTAACAGAAATCCATAGTGTCAAAAACATTCTGACCTGTTGTGGTCTTCCTGAGTTCTTTGCAACAGAAGGATTTACTCTTATTTTCTGTAGTAAAAAAAACAAGTGAAAGCTAAGAATATGCATTTTCTGAGGCATGTCTCAAGTCCAAAAAGACTGAGAAGCATTGCTTTAGTCTGAAGAATCTTCTGCTTCATTAGCCTTATTATATGTACCTTTTTCTTTCTTTCTTTTTACTTTTAATATTTTTGCAGATGGACTGGATGGATGTGATATGAACAGAAAATAGATCAATCAGTCAGCAAACCTGCCTTTAAACTAACACTAAACTGCAGATTGAAAAATTGATTTAAGTGCCACAGTCGCATTGTGGCCAAGAAATTAATATTTAATATGCAACAAAAATGTTTTATTTGAATTAACGGAAGATTCAAATATTAAAACAAGTCTACATTAAATTACAATGTTAAATAACTTTTAAATACATTTATTATACTAAAGATATGTGAGGTTTATCTTCTAAACATAGCGGAAAGGGAACAAAAATAATTCAAAGAATGCAATACAATGAATGATAGTAGATGAGAGGAGGAGGACTTTAACAAAGAAACTCAAGAGATATCTGTGTTTAACAATGTATTCTTAAGGGATAGTGATCTTTTAATTTATGCACAAAATTACATTACATAAATTTAGTAAGGTACTTTTCAAGAAAATATTGCTTAGTTTAAATTCTCATTATACCATGATCAGAACTCCTTTGGTAGCTTTTAATTAGAATCAAACACACCATTACGCAACTCCTGTAAAATAAACAGAGGCTTGTAAATATTACCACAAAAAGTATCTTCCTTATAGTTACAATTATCTAACAGAGCTACATGTCTTTCATTCTTCAATTCAAATCAACTTACATATATACAATATGTAACAAGGTACTCACAAAATCCTTAATCTCTCAAGACAAAAAGCTATGCTTTCACAACTTCAAGACTAAAAGTCTTTAAGAAAACTTTTTTCTTTTTAGTGTAGAGCACACTGTACAGTAATTACACTGTATGTGACTCTAAAGGCAAAACTAGGTTTTACTGCAGTTTTACATAAACAGTGATAAAAAATTGTTGTCCAAAAGCAAGATAGGATCTGTTGGATTCAATCTTCATTACCCCCAAAAGCACGATCCCCCCACCCCCCAACCAAATATCTTAGCTAGATTATCATACAGTTCTCTACAGACATTAACACAGTTGTCCCCTTGGCACTTCAAAGATCTCACTTCAAAATCTGATTTATCCAAACCAGAGAGAAGCTTAGAATTATTTGAAAGAAAATTAAAATGTGAAGATACTAGTATTCATGGTGCAGAATTTCAGAAATGTAGTGTATTTCAACAACACTGTTTGTTTGTACATAAGTATTCATGAATTAAGGGTTTTTAAAAAGATACCCAAACAATCCTTGTAGCTAAAGAATGCAGCATTAAGGGTCTGTATGAATGTGCAGTGAATAAACCTGACTTGTATCTCAGAGAAAGTTACAAAGAAAAATGTTATCTTCCCATCCAACTTCAAAAATATTTTTAAACAAAATAGTAGAAACGCATTTGGAAGAACCCAAACTAACAAAAGGCATAACTAAAAGAAATAAAAATGTGCCATTTAAAATCACTAAGGAGTCTTGACAAGGTTGATCCAATTACCATCTCCTTTGCTTCTCTTCCACAGCAGTGCATGCAGCTAGTTGAATAATACGTATCAACCAGATATCTGCTAAAAGTAGAGTCTGGAAACAACATAGTTATTCATTGTCCTGAAGATATATTTGTGTATTTAAAAAGGGATTCTCTCTTCATTATGCAACATAGTGATACTGATTGGGGTTGTCTTTGTCTCTCTCCATATAGTCTCTATCTATGAGAGATTCAATCCTCTTTTTCAAGTCTCCAGGCTACAAGAAAAAGATATAATTGGCATTGTATTTAATAATGTAAGTAAAATATATATGGAAGTAAATGTTTATCTTTATTTTCAAACTAACAGCAGTAAAATAATGATAACAACCTTTATTTTCAAAGTTGGGGCAGCTATAAACTGTATAACAAAATACACCATTAAATTAAACATCTGTTTCTAAATATAAACTCCTGGCATAAAGCTGCTGACATTTTTGTTCCTTTCTATTAACAGGGTTGTCAACCAGGGGTACGCAGTGATGGAATGCTGCCACCCCGCACTATTGCCTCACAGAAGCAAGGACCGCACAGACGCCACATTACTGCCGCTCGCCACCCCCATCTCCCCACTCCACGTCTGGCTGTTCGCCACCCCGCCGCATCCAGCTACTCACCTCCCTCCCCCCAACCCCGGGAGGTTTAATACACTTATTAAAACGGAGGTTGTTGGGGGTACATTTATTAAAAAAAGGTTGAAAACCCCTGTATTAACATATACACTTTAATATCTGAATTGGTGATTTGGCTATAACATTCTGCACTATTCTTCTTCAACATCTAACAAGGTTCAAGATAAATGGAAAAACTAAGCAACACTTTCTAGTATTTTGAAATAGTTTTAAGATGGTTCAAAGTTCACTTACCTTAACTGGAAATTTCAGCTGATTATACAATTCAGAAACAAGAAGATTATGACCAAGCGTCTTTCTTATCTTCATTATTCGTACAATAGCAGCATCAATCTGATATTGCCTGTCTTGAAATACTCTTTCAGTTGTGCTCACCTGTTCCTCAACCTGAAGGACAATCAGAAAAGATGTATCAAGCCATCTTTCATCTTTATTTCCTCTGAGAATTTGGTTAAGCTTTAGAGAAGAATATACAGCTAAGACATTAATCAGAAGCTATGTACATTCATGCTTTACCCGAGAGAGATGGACAGACACAAACCACTGTGCATCTAAAACTAGGTTTCTGGGATACCCGGGTGTTAGAGGAAACAGAATGCATAAGCACGGTAAATTAAAATACTGTATGTACTCAAATCCAAGATAAGTTTTATTCCTCCCGTTCAACATATGGGAAAAAAGCCCCTTATCTTGGATTTGAGTACAGAGCAGGGGGAGGTGCTACTATTGCAGTTCCCACACTGGCTCTGATCTGGGCTTGGGTCAGAGCTCTAGCTGCTGCCCCTCCCCCTCCCCCTTCTGCCTCCCACTTTCCCCCGCCCTGCCACCTCTGATTGGCCTCCCCACCCCTGCCCTACTTACCCTCAGTCATGGCTCTGAGCCTCCTCCAGCCTGGGGAACACAGCACATGGCGACTGCAGCCCTTGCCCAGCCAGGCAGCAGCTCTGGCCCCAGCTCTGACCCAGTCCTGGGGCCAGGTCTGGAGCTACCACCACTACAATCACTGCTGCATAGCTGGGCAGGGGTCAGAGTCACCATGTCCTTGTTGTCCCTGGCGAGAGCAGGGCTGAAGTTGGAGCCAGAGCTGTGACTGAGTAAGGGGCGGGGGGCGGGGCAGCACACAGGCACCATAGGGGGGACAGAGGGTAGGCAGTGAGAGAGTGGGATACATGGCAGGAAACAAGATACAGGGAGGCACACTACTGTGGGGGAGGGCAGACTCCAGGGAAGTAAGTGGGGGTGGGGGAGGAGGAAGGCAACAGGAGGCAGGGGTCAGGCCACTTAACTTTTCTAACCACTTGTCCCCCCATTGCCTGCGCTTTTCTCACTGCATTTAGGGCAGGGGTGAGGGGGAGATGAACTTAACCCTACAATAATTACATTCTATACATGCAAAATTATAATAAATTAATCATTTTTCATGAAAATAATCTAATTATTAGGGGGGCCATCTTAAATTGGAAGTCATCTTGGAATCAGGTAAATATAGTTTTATAAAAACTGAGCTTGGTAAATCAAACTGTAGTTTAAAAATAATTTAAAATTGTTTAAAGAAATACAAATACAGATGAATTTTGCATAGAACTCTGACAAACAAAGGCCTTCTGAAATACAGAGTCATTTCAAGGTTATGCATTTCAAGGACCTGCCTGAACAGAAAGCAAGATAAATAACTAATGCTAACCAAAGCGTGCTGAATTACTGAGCTGGGACTCAATCCCGACAGACAGCTACAGCAACAGCAACCGCCACAATAGAAATAACACTGGCTTGTTAGTAACCTCTCACCCTTCAGGTAAAAAACAAAACAGCTCATCTGTTAATGGCATTTCTTCTGATTTGTTTATTAAGAATAGAGGCAATGCCTTAACTGCTTTAGGAAACATTAAAGATGTACTGAAAGGCATGCAAGATCATATTAGTGTAGGACACATGCTAGCAGACAGATTAGAATGCAGTCTCCCTTCCTAAAAGGAAAACAACCTACTGTATCAGTTCTGTCAGATGTGGATAAGCAAGTCAGTGACAGTTTAATCAGAAAGCATGCAAACAAGAACAATTTTAATACATACTGTTTCTTTCATCTGTATCTGGTTAATCTTGATTCTAAACAATCTATGCTTGAAATCACCATTAAAAATGAATTTGTCTTCATCTTCTACATCCTTGCCCTTTGGATTTTTAATCAATACTCGTGCTTTACCACAGGCCAAAGACTGCAAGGTTCTTCGCAATTCACCATCCTCTGTAAACAAGTAAAAAAATACAAGAAAAACTCATTAGAATGTTGAAAAATTACCTTTTTAATGTATAAAAGCAATTTAAAAAAATTCTCCCTTTCTTGAAATAGGTTGGCATTAATTTATTTTATCTCATTCCCAATTATACAACATTTACAACTCTAAGGCCCCTTCTACACATGCAGGGAAAGGCGCAATGGGATCTAATGCATGATTGACACAATTGCACCTACTGCCATGCCACAAGTGCATGGTAGGAGGAGTAACTGTGGTATTGCACATTAGATCCCATTGCACCTTATTGCCAGTGAAAAGGAACCTGATCCCGAGCTTCCCCTGCACTGGCAAGAAGCAAGCTCCCACAGCTGGGAGCCCCATGCACCCCGGTTGATCCTCAGGTCCTAGGGATCATGGCAGCTGCAATCCCCAAGGTCCAGAAGTTTCATGTACTCCCAAAGCCCTAAGGCAGCCATGACACCAAGGGCTCTGGGGTGCATGAAACCCATGGATCCTGGCAATCATGGCTGTTAGGATCCCTAGGGCTCATGAGTTTTACATTGGGCATAGTGCACCCCTACCGCTAGCAGCCCCATCAGTTGATGGGGCTTCCAGCTGCGGGGGAGACCCTGCTACATGTGCATATTAAAGCTTGATAGCAACTAGCTATAAAATTAGTACACATTTTTGAGGTCTAACTTTATAGCTGGTTGGTGCTTTTTATTGTGTGACAGCTATTTTGCATGTGTAGATGGCCTCCAAGTAATTTTGCAATTAGCTAGTTAATTGCACAGTACCTGTACCATGTCGATGGGGTCTAAAGGCCCACCCTGCAGCTCTTAAATGTAATTCTGGACTGTAGTTTCAGCATTGTACAAGACATGAATAAACCTAGTCTCAACCTTGGAGGCCATATTCAGAGAAGCACGGCCGTATGGTATGTGGTGCTGCAAACATGTCTGCGGCGCCACACACTGCACATTCAGATGTTCTCCGTGCTGCAAGGGAACATTTTGCATGTGTGAGCTGCTCTGCTTTTTTTTTTTTCTCTCTACAGGTTTTTTTTTTTGACCTCTCAGGGGTCAAAAAAAAACCCCCCCAAAAAAAAGCAGAGCTGGGCTGCCCAGAGCTGTGCTGTGGCTGCTGGCCAGGCTCCGCACGGCAGAATCACTAATGCTGCAGCCCCAGGAGGCCTCCAGGACAGGCTGCTGGGGCCAACCCAGTGCAGGCCCCAGCCTCCCCTACCCAACCCGGGGTAACTTACTGTGCGCCAAAGTGCACGTGCGCAGGAGTTTCCTGGGGACCAGTAGCAGCAGTGCAAGGTGTGCCACCACTACTTGTCCCCAGGGATCCAAATGTCCACACATGTGTGGACATGCCCAAAGAGTTTAAAATCCAAAGACAAAGGTAAAACAAGAACACATTCAGACAATTGGTAACTGGGGGGGAATATAGCTATTTGGAAACAAAGTAATATAATGCGTTCATAGTTTCATAGATGTTAGGGTTGGAAGGGACCTATTAGATCTTCGAGTCCGACCCCCTGCCCTGGCAGGAATGAATATTGGGGTCAGATGACCCCAGCCAGGTGTCTGTTCAATCTCCTTTTAAACACCTCCAAGGAAGGGGACAGCACCACCTCCCTTGGAAGCTTATTTCATATTTTGGCAACCCTCACTGTAAAGAATTTTTTCCTGATGTCCAATCTGAATTTGCTCTCTTCCAGTTTGTGGCCATTATTTCTAGTTAGCCCGACAGGTGCCCTGATAAACATTGTATTCCCTATTTTTTGCTGGCCCCCCCGATGAGTTTGTAGGCAGCCACGAGATCACCTCTCAGCCTCCTTTTGCGGAGGCTGAAGAGGTTCAGGTCTCCCAATCGGTCCACATAGGGTTTTTCTGTAGGCCTTTAACCAGACGAGTGTCCCTCCTCTGAACCCTCTCCAGGCCATCCACATCCCTCTCGAAGTGCGGTGCCCAAAACTGGATGCAGTACTCCAGCTGTGGCCTGACCATGCCGCATAGAGGGGAAGTATCACCTCACTAGACCTGTTTGTGATGCACCTACTTATGCAAGAAAGGATGCAGTTAGCCTTACTTATTACTTCATCACACTGGTGACTCATGTTCATTTTGGAGTCGTCTACGACTCCGAGATCCCTTTCTGCAGTTGTGCTACTTCGAGTGGTACCTCCCAGGCTGTAGGAGTGTCTTCCTCCCCAGGTGCAACAAATGACACTTATCCTTGGTAAACTGCATACTATTCTGTTCGGCCCATTTGCCCAGCCTGTCCAAATCAGTTCCTTACAATCTAGTTTGTGTACCTCCCCCCATAGTTTGGTGTCATCAGCAAACTTGGACAGGGTGCTTTCTACCCCCTCATCCAAGTCATTAACGAAGGTATTGAATAGTACCAGTCCCAGGACAGAGCCTTGGGGGACTCCGCTGCCCACATTTCTCCAGGTAGAAACCGACCCACCCACCACTACTCTCTGGGTGCGTCCCAGAAGCCAATTTTCTACCCACCGGACTGTGTAATAATCAAAATTGCAATTGTTTAGCTTATTTATAAGACTTTGGCATGACACTGTGTGAAAGGCCTTTTTAAAATCCAAGTAAATAACATCTACCTCTGTTCCTTTGTCCAAGCATTTTGTGACACGGTCGTAAAATGAAACCAGGTTAGTCAGGCAGGATCTGCCTGCTATGAACCCATGCTGATTGCCCCTTAGCATCATTTTACCTGCTGGTCCCCCACAAATGTGATCCTTAACAATTTTCTCAAAGGTCTTGCCAAGGATAGAGGTGAGACTAACCGGCCTATAGTTACCTGGTTCCTCCTTCCTCCCCTTCTTGAAAATAGGGACCACATTGGCCCTTTTCCAATCCTCTGGGACCTGTTCTGAGCACCATGAATGCTCAAACAGTTGTGCCAGCGGCTCTGCTATGACTCCAGCTAATTCCCTAAGTACTCTAGGATGAAGATCA